TACATACATACATATATACACATACATATACACATATACATACACACATACATACCCATATACATACATGCATATATACAAACATACATGCACACATACATACACATATACAGTACATATGCACATATCCTTCCATCAGTGCCCGAATAGAAAACCCAGTATGGGTTCATATTTGTAAATCTATAATGTCACCCCCACTCGGATACTACCTCATTAACAAACTTCAAGTGACTCATGGGCCACTAGTTAAAAATTACAGTTCTACCATGTTTTGCCTCTCTAGATATAGTTTATTTTTTAGCAATTTACTGCAGTTGGTTTTATGAAAATGAAAAAAAAAACTTGTGACTGATGTTTTATTTAGTCCTGTACATCAGATATAACTACAAAATAATGTGTCTTTATCATTGCTTTGAATCTTTTTCACATTAGGTCAAGTCATTTAAATAATCCCCAATTAGTAAATACGGTACTGAGTGATACTTTTGCTTTATCATTATGATTTGATGTTATRATCTTTGCAGGTTTAATGGACTTCTCTGGCATGTCATTGATTAAGCTGAAAAAAGAAGAAATGGAGGCTCAAGTAAGACTTCCCTAGGGAAAACAAATCTTGTCTCACAATTGTTCACATTAAGCTAAAGAATAACTTTACCATCGGCTTAATTAGTATTACCAATAGTCCTAAAACTATACTACCTGGTCAAAAAAAAGGTCACATACTTTTTGTTGGACTGCCTTTACCTTTGATTACTGACCAAATAGCCTATGCCACCACAATTAGGGACATACTGTTACAATTCAGGCCCCGAGCATCATTTCCGGGTTCTACCTACTGCGCGCTGTTTTTAGCGCTAGCTCATAGAACTAGACCATGAAAAAGTCACAAAAGTTAAAGCATCTGCGAGCTACTGGTATAAAAAAGTGAGTTKTGTTGTGTGCCATGGTGTCCACTAACCAGTAGGTACAATAGATAGATAGTTTTTCTCAATTTTCCTCTTGATGAGGAGTTAAGGCAACAACAATGGATCGTGGCTGTACACAGGGAATACTTAGCTTTAAAGGCTCACACTCGCGTTTGTAGTCAGCATTTCAAACCTGAGGATATTCAAGAGCCAGCGTCAGAAATGAGAAGATGGAGTTTAAAGAAGGAAGCTATACAGTTACCCCATTCACGGACAAGARCCCAGAGAGCAAAGACCACCTCCAGAGGGCAGCAAGGAGAAAGCACAACAGCCAGTATATAGACTAGACGCTCGGATCACGATTATGCCGCTACTTCAGACTCCGCAATTGTGGATTAGTGCTGGAGGTAAATGTTATTATCTGGGAGGAAATCCACCATCTATGGGAACAGTTTGAGAGCCTGACACTGAGGCAGCTGTTRGCAATTCACCGTTTTACTGCTTCAGACAAGAGCATTGGATACTTCAAAACGTAGGTATGTGTATACGCGTTTCTGTTATACAGAGTATTAAATTATTTTAGGCAACTTTTTCATGAGTTTTATGCAAAGGCCAAAACTTGATCGAGTGTACAGTGTAGACACAACTCGAGCTCCCCTCCCCTCCTATACCGATAGCAGCCGAACCTCCACCTGAAAACCATTCCCTGTTTTCAGAGCACCAACGTCGGGGCATCATAATCCAAACCAAACAATTAGCCCATCAATTTAAAGTCCAGACTCTGCTCTTTCAAACAATATGTCACTGCTCTACCTGAAAAATCCACAGAACAAGCAGCCAAGGAGTAGTGAAATAGGCTTAATTCTGGATCTCTTACCTTTGTTTTTTTATGGGTTTAATCTGCTTTAGAGTAAGTTTTTCCWCTTGGCTAGACTTTTGTCAACTTGTACGTCTCCTGTGGTATTGTTGGTACGTGTAATATGCAAATCCTGTATTGTGGACAGCAGCCACTGAGTGCGAAACATATGCTAACACTGTGTTGCCTGCAAACTGGAAGTGCTGTCCGTGGCCAAAAATATGGAAGTGCTAGAACGAAAGTCCATGGCGTATAGGCTATTTGCTACAGCATTGTTTTAGTAAGCTCCTGCAATGTCACAAGAAATAATTCCATCCAGTGTTGCATTAATTTTTCACAGAGATCTTGCATCGATGATGGTAGAGTCTGACCTTCTCCAGCTCATCTCAAAGATTCTCAATGGGCTCTGTGAAGACAATCCATGTGTGAAAATGATGTCTCATGCTCAGTGAACCACTCTTTCACAATTCCAACCCGATGAATCCTGGCATTGTCATCTTGAAATATGCCCGTACCATCAGGGAAGAAAAAAATTTATTGATGGAATAACCTGGTCATTTAGTATATTCAGGTAGACCTGACCAACTTCAGCAACCCCAGATCATAGCACTTTGTTAAATCCAGGTGGATACTATTTTTTTGGCCAGGCAGTGTAGTTTGATTGGATGAAAATTTTTAACTACTTGTTAGTTAATCATGAGTACTGGTAAGTGATGGAAACGGTAAACCCAAAGGTAATTACTAGAAAAAAGACAAAGCATTTAAACTGTAAATTTATTGATTAAATTGTTGACTAGWAAGAACAAATTTGACAATTAAATGTCGAGAAGAAATAATTAGGCTGGAACATTAAAACAAATAGCTAAGTAGTTGTGTTGATGCTTAAATTATGAACTTTTTTGCTTAAGGCTATCTTAAAGCTGATGAAAAGTTAAGAAAGTTAGCTTAAATCTGAAATTTAGAAATAGGGGTTTAGCTAATAAACAAAAGTTTAAGAATCTTTCTACAACATCTTGATCACTTTTATTGATATAAAGAATAGTTTTGATAGGTAAATGATTAGAATAAAGAATTAGATAGATAGATTAAAAGCTAGCTAATTCAGTTGATGTCTAAATCAATAAAATGTTTGCTTAATGGTAGTCTAAAGCCAATAAATGGTTAATCTTCATGTGTTTCTCCAAAAATGATTACCCTTATGGGTTAATTGGTGAACAAGGAAAGTATTTTGTGCCAATAATTTAAAGTTTAAAGGGGCAATATTATGTGTTTCTCAGGCATATATTTAAATTCTATACCATAAAGTATCTCTTTTAGTTGTTATTAAAATGCTGTTTTAATGTTTGCATAGAACACAAACTTGTCGTTTCATCATTTCCATTTCTAAACACTTTGAAATTGGCCTCTGTCTCTTTAAGAACCTCCTTCCGCTTCTGTCCCACCCATTTCAACACGTCATCACAGCCGCTTCTCTCTACAGGACTCTGTTGGCTGTTTATAACCTGGAGCGTCGTGGCAGACTTTGTTGTAATGATAATAAAAAAGCAGCAACATTATACGATATCTGTTTTAAAAAAGTGCATCTTAGGATACATTTTAACCTTACTGTCGGATCGGAAAGTATGTTTTCTAAAGAACTGGAGTGATTACAGAGACAACGTCTATAGGATAAATCTTGTGCCAGCAGGAACTGAATTTGAATTGCTCAGATTGAATTTGTATGTGCATAATTTGAAATTGAATGCATTGGTTTGAAAATGAATTTTACTAAATTGAAACTGAACTTAAATTTACTTAAGGTAAACATTTCACTGATCACATRAACTCTGTGGATGAATATATTAAGTTCACACGAGAGTATGTAAAAAATGGCAGGTTGGCGTTCCTGGATTGCGATGTCTCGGTTTCGGATGGAGGATGGTTGGAAACTGYCGTATATCGTAAGCCCACCCACACAGACAAATATTTGCGTTTTGACTCCCACCACCCACTGGAACACAAGTTAGGAGTGATCAGGACTCTGTACCACAGAGCAGACAGTGTCCCTACAAACCCAGGAGCCAGGGAGAAAGAGAAATCACACACACGACAGGCCCTGGAGCAGTGTGGTTA